CCTCTATGACCTCATAAAGCAGTACAGAGAATCTAATAACAGGAATGAAACTATGAGCCTCAGGTAATATTGAAATAATTAATTATTATTTATAATTAAATTATTTTTTATTAATTTTTAGTTTGCAAAGACTTAGGAGTGACCTTACTCTTCAATACGAAGCAAACAGTCGGATGAAGGTAACCGTGACGACCGTTGCTACGGTAATGCCGTCGCTATGGTAACGTCCCCCTCTTCCCCTAGACTCAGATTGAGGAGTTGGAGAGAAAGCTGGCTCAGGCGAGGGAGAAGGAGAGACAAGTTCTCTCGAGGAACAGGTCGCTGTCTCTTCAGTTGAAGTCTCAAGAAGAAGAGTACCATAAGGTCCAGCACAGGATGAGTCAGAAGGAGCTTCAGTATGAACATGAACTGAGAAAGAAGGAGAGAGAGTATCACAGACTAAACGAGAGGCTAGGGCAGGTGAGGGGGAGGTCTTAGGGTAGGTGTAGTAGGCTATGGCAATACAGAAAATGTACTAGAAATATTTTTAAAGTTGCTCCAAAAACGGAGAGAATTCTCCATTTTTATTACATTTTCTGATACATATACATGTACTTATGTTGTGTAGAAAGTTTGAGCTGATTCTGATTAAATTTGGATTTTTTACGAATTTTTAAAGTTGCTCCAAAATCGGACAAAAGTCCCTGTACTATAGTACATTACATGAGGGAACTAAGCCCTTAACAAACATCTTTAACAAAATAAACACAACACAGAAATTACTAGGTTTAGAAGTAAGATAATAATAATAGAATAAGTGATAGGAAAAAAATTAATAAGGCACAATGAATAAGTTAATTAAGGGTGAGATGAGCCTCCGAGACAGCTCTACAGAAGTCATTGGAGTCAAATGATTTCATGGTCTCGGGCCAAATTTTGCCAAAAATGAAACGGAGAGAATTCTCCATTTTTATTACATTTTCTGATACATATACATGTACTTATGTTGTGTAGAAAGTTTGAGCTGATTCCGATTAAATTTGGATTTTTTACGAATTTTTAAAGTTGCTCCAAAATCGGACAAAAGTCCCTGTACTATAGTACATGGTCTCGGGCCAAATTTTGCCAAAAATGAAAAGGAAAGAATTCTCCATTTTTATTATATTTTCTGATACATATACATGTACTTATGTTGCGTAGAAAGTTTGAACTGGTTCCGATCAAATTTGGACTTTTTACAACTCTTTAAAGTTTTTCCAAAGTCTATTTCTATTAGACTGTTAGTTGTAGTATATGCTTCTTTACTGTACATGTGTATGTGTGTGTGTGTGTGTGTGAATTTGTAGTTAGTTTTAAATAAGAATCAAGAGAAGAAGTTAGGAATGAAACTACTCAACACATTACAAGTATCAAGCAGCAGAGGAGGAGGAGGAGGAGTAGGAGCAAGAGGATCTGAGTACGTGTACAATTGTACATGTATAATATATGTATGAAATGACCTTGATTAATTCTGAAAAATACCCAAGGCTATAGCCCATGGTTTTTTCCCAAAAAATGGCCCCAAAATCACCTCACATTTTAATTACATTTTCTGATACATATTGATGTACTTATGCTGTGTAGAAAGTTTGAGCTCATTCTAACTTTAATTTTTCAAGTTACGGCCATTTTAAGAAAATGCCAAAAATCTGAAAAATACCCAAGGCTATATATAGCCCATGGTTTTTTTCAAAAAATAGCTCCGAAATCACCTCAAATTTTTATTACATTTTCTGATACATATTGATGTCCTTATGCTGTGTAGAAAGTTTGAGCTGATTCCGACTTTAATTTTTCAAGTTACGGCCATTTTAAGAAAATGCCAAAAATCTGAAAAATACCCAAGGCTATAGTCCATGGTTTTTCCCAAAAAATGGACCCAAAATCACCTCAAATTTTTATTACATTTTCTGATACGTATTAATGTCCTTATGCCGTGTAGAAAGTTTGAGCTGATTCTGATTAATATTATTCAAGTTATAGCTAAACTAATAATTAATATACTGTTGATATATGCTACGTATGATAATAATTTTGAGTGGATTCCAACTACGTGTTACAAGCCTCAGTAACAAGTAATGAATATCATTATAGTCCGACCCACGATAGCATCATAACGTTTTATGCATTTATAAAGAGACCAGCAGTAAGTCACGGCTGTGAATCATGTATATATTATTGTACAGTTAATTGAATTTACTAATTTTTGAATGGGCAATTCACCATAATTGCCCTGATCTAATAAAACAATGAAATTATATTAATGACAGTTTGAAAACTGCTTAAACTGGTTCCAATTAATACTTTTAATTATTTCATTAGGGACATCAGTGCTTATAGATTAGTGGTGAATCATTATGAAGAGAAACAGAAGGTACATATGTATGAGAATTAAGATGAAGTTACATGAATAATAATAATAATAATAATAATAATAATATTGTTTATTTTTGTATGCAGTTGGTATCATTTTAGTTTGTGATTAATAATAATATTGAAGTATTTTTATTCTTTTTTTTTTTATTCTTCAGGAGCTAATTTTAGAGAACTCTAGTTTAAGAGATTCTCTGTGTAACATGGAGAAAGAGCTCGTCACTTTATTAAATTATAAATATTTTAGTTCATTATCGTCACCAAGTCACAGCTTCATTAATAAGGTAATTAATTAATAATAATGAATATTAATGAATATTAATTTGTGTAGGCAGATGAAGAGGTGGAGTCAAGTGTTCACGAAAGAGAGAGGGAGGAGCTTCTTGATAGCGGACACTATCAAATGCCATATGATATTGTTAGACAGGGTATGTCAGTATAACTCAGTATACTACCATTCATGTACTGATATATTTCCAGTAAATTATTAGTAAATTCTCTCCATAGATATAGAAGAGAATTTACGTGATAAATATGATCGTCTCCGTGAATACATTGTATCGTTAAAGAAAGGCCACACCTCCTCGTCAAGTGAATCTTACGACAAAGAAATTGAAGATTTGGAAAAGAAACTTTCAGATTATCGTGACATCATTAGCCAGCAAGAGCTGCTGCTTGAGGTAGGGAGGTATTAATTAGTTATTTAAAGTGAGCGTATTTCTTTAGAAGCAGCTGGAAGAGAGTTCTTCTGATCCTGGTGGGGCTGGATTTTTAGTAATCCATTAATAATATTATTTAACCCTCCCTCTCTCTCTCTCTCTCTCTCTCTCTCTCCCTCTCTCCCAGAATGAGTCCAAATTTTTAAAGAAAGAAGAGATGCTTGTTCTAAGAGAAGAAAAGAATAAAAATCACGAGGAACATCTTAAAAATGAAGAGGAGAGACTAAGTCTGCTAGCTAGACAGCTTGATCGAGAAGTAAGAGCTTTAAAATATATACCCACACCCATAAAATTTAGAGTTGTTTGAGTTATAATTTTTACTGAATGTCAGTCGTAATTTTGCACTGATTGTCGTTTAATTTTTTTAAGCGTCGTAATTTTGAAGACAAGAAGGCCACGTTTTTAACCCAACAACTTGACAGCTCTGTGTTTGCCACGCCCGGCAAAACCACATCAGATTGTGAGTAGCAATTTATTTATTTTTATTTGTTTTTTTAATTATTTATTTTTATTTATCAGTGGATTCATTCTTTCTTCGTTTAAATTCAACTCCTTTCTCTCTCTCAACTCGTAAACCCTCACACAAGAAATCCTCTCATTATACTACCCCCGGTCCCGGTGGGCCCCCACGGTCAATATTAAAACCGCTCCAGACCCCGTACACTCCACTGAGATCAACCGGTCGCAAACCTTCACCACCACCTTTTGTTAATAAATCAATTGTTACTCCTTTCAAATCAAAAGTATGTATGCATGTTACATGTTAAAATACATGTACTTTGCTTTGCTACTTTGATGTGTTCTTTAGCTAAATCACAAATACATGTACATATATACAACATTTCTTTACTATCGTAGTGTATTTTGAAATAATAATACCATTATTATTAGTATTATTATAACTTGTGTGTATTGTGTAAGTACTGCAGTTTTACATTAGTGTTACATATATTATAGCATAGTAGGGGTACATAGACCCCATTCAAAAATTTGTAGAAACACTAGGAACGAATCGATTGAAGATACAGTGCTCATCCATTCCAAGTCTCATTATATACTCTGATATTTGTAAAAGCTATCGTGGGTTGCACTACCTTGTGGTTAACACTTCTGTACACACTTCTCTACTTGTATAAACTGTAACTAAACACACATCAAAGTACTGTCCATCTATTGTACAGGTATCTCCTACTGATGTACCTACTGATATTGATCTTAAACAAGATCTTTCATTAACTTCTGATGATGGGCTGGAGGTCTTGAATGATTAAAATG